TATATATATATATATATATATATATATATATACACACATGAAGAAAACAAACAAACAAAAACACCTAAACTGAAACAGGCATCACAAAGTCTCATCTTCAAAGCAGTGTTGTGCAAACGGGCGATTTCACCTGCCGGGAACATCTGACAGTACCTGGAGACATTTGGTGCTGTAACTACTTGGGGGTGGGGGACACCGGCACCTGGTGGGTAGAGGCCAGGGATCCCACTAAGCATCATACAGCACACAGAACACCCCCATACACCAAAGAAGCATCCTGCCCAAGAGGGTAAAGGTGCCGAGGCTAAGAAGCCCTCCTCTTGGGGGTCACCAGCTTTCCCTATGAGGAACTTGCTTTCCTCCCTCAGTCGCTTTTCTGTTATTTCAGCTGCTCTTCATAAATGTTTTCTGAATTCTGCCAGGCGAGGTGGCTTATGCCTATAATCCCAGCACTTGAGAGGGCGGAGGTGAGAGGATTGCCTGAGCTAAGAGGTTCAAGACCTGCCTGGGCAACATGGCAAGATCTCTACAATACATTTTGGTTTTTTTTGAGTTGGAGTCTCACTCAGTTGCCCAGACGAGTGCTGTGGCCGCTCCTGGCCACCGCAGCCTCGACCTACTGGGCTCCAGCGATCCTTCTGGCTCAGTCTTCCAAGTAGCTGGAACCACAGGCGTGCGCTACCACGCCCGGCTAATTTTTTTTTATTTATTGTAGAGATGAGGTCTCGCCAAGTTGCCCAGGCGGGTCTCAAACCCGCAGGCTCAGGCAATTTGCTCACCTCGGCCTCCCAAAGTGCGGGATTACAGGCTGAGCCACCGAGCCCGGCCTACAATAAATTTTTTTTTAATTAGCTGGGTGTGGTGGTACACACCTGTAGTTCCAGCTACTTAGAAGGCTGAAGTAGAAATATCGCCTGAGCCCAGCAGGTCGAGGCTGCGGTGGCCGTGAGCACTCCAGCCTAGTTGACAGAGTGAGACTCCAACTCAAAAAAAAATAAAAAAAATTATCTGATCTCCCAGCAACAGTGGATTATGGAAAGATCGGGGGATGCGTGTGTAGAAGCTTCTAGAAGCAATCACTTCAAGTTTGGCAAGGATTACAAACAGTACAAAAAACTGCAAAAAGAAGACTGAAAAACTTAAAAGTCCAGCATCCTAGGGACATTGACTTTAGGGACACACAGTCCCGGATAGCTTAAGGGGTTTGAGTTGGGATTGTGGGTGTCCTTGTTCTGTTGCCCAGGCTGGAGTGCAGTGATTTGATCACGGCTCACCACAGCCTCGGCCTGCTAGGCTCAAGCCGTCCTTCTGCCTCAGCCTCCTGAGTAGCTGGGACCATAGACTCATGCTACTACACCCAGCTACGTTTTTTATTTTTTATAAGGGTGTCGTGGTTTTGGGGGGTTTTTTTTTTACTTGTTTTTTAGTTGGAGTTGCACTCTGTCGCCCAGGCTGGAGTGCAGTGGCACAATCACAGCCAAAGCAGTCTCGACCTGCTGGGCTAGGTGATCCTTCCACCTCAGCCTTCCAAGAAGCTGGAACCACATGCTCGGCTTATTTTTTTATTTATTGTAGAGATGAGGTCTCATCGGGTTGCCTAGGCTCATCTCAAACCTCTGAGCTCAGGCAATCCTCTCGCCTCCGCCTCCCAAAATGCTGGGATGACAGGCTTGAGCCACTGTGCCCACCAAGGGTGTCACTCCTAAAGGACAGTAAGGTATAGACTTGAGCATTCAGGTAAGTTTGAATCATGTGGCTACTCTGACTACTATGGCAAGGAAGCGTGAGATACATTTCCTAAAAGAGCTTGTCAAATGGATGCAGTGAACTTGTGGCACTTTGGTGGAGACGGAATGAGTCCCCGAGGACTGGAGGACATCTCCACGGTTCTCAAGAATACCCCCAGTGTCCCTAGAGCCTGCAGTTCAGGGAGCTCACCCATTGCTTTTTACTTTCAACAACAGTGTATCCTTCTGTGAACAGGAGTATTGAAGAGAGGTCAATGTCAGAGAGAGATTGGGCACTGTGACTCACGCCTGTAATTCCAGCACTTTGGGAGGCCAAGGTGAGAGGATCCCTTGAGCCCAGGAGTTCAGCACCAGTCGGGAAAACATAGGGAAACCTCAATGCTACCAAAAATCAAAGAATGAGCCGAGTGTGGTGGTGCATGCCTGTGGTTCCAGTTACCCGGGAGGCTGAGGTGGAAGGATTGCCTGAGGTCAAGGCTTCCGTGAGCTGTGATTGTGCCACTACACCCCAGCAAGGATGACAGAATGAGACTCCAAGGAGAGAGAGAGAGAGAAAGAAAGAGGGAGGGAAGGAGGACGGGAGGACATGTCAGGGCCTGTGGCCTCCAGGATTCACCCTGCTTCCCTGGCATGGCCACCTCACCCTGCCCTACCCCGCTCCATCCGACCCCCCCTGGCAATTTGCACCCTGACCCCTCTCCCTTTGAGAGAGAGAGAAATGGGGTGGGGGAGAAGGAGGGAAGGAAAAAAGGAAGGAAGGAAGCAAGTCGCTGCCTGAAATCCCATGGGCATATCCTCTCGGTCCCCCAGACCAGCCCCAGGCTCCTGGTCCCTCCCTGGTGAGCCAGTGCTGCCCACGCCAGGCCCCTCTGCGAGACCCACTGCCCGTCCTCCTGCCTCCTGAGGCTGCGGTGCCCAGATGCCCGGCGGGCTGTGGGGCCTCAGTGCAGCCCCCTCTGTCTGGGCCGCTGCCTCATCCCCCTCCCTGAGTGTCCTGGCCATCAGCCTAGGACCAAGGTGGCACCGTGTCCCACCCCCTAAGATGAAGAGGGCAGCATGGGGGGTCAGGGGTGGGCAGGGGTCGGCATGGAGCCTACACCTCTCCTCTCCGGGATTTCA